GAACAGATTAAGTTCGTATCCCGAGGTACCAGTGTACCTTCATTCAGCACCCATTCATTCTTTTTTTTTATGTAACTTTATTAGATTTTAAGATAAAGACAATAAAAATTAACAAAAACTAATATTAAAGACAAAGAAGGAAAAAAGAAGCAAAGAATAAGAAAAAGAACAAAGTCAAAAGTACAGAAAAAAAGAGGAAAGAAAAAATACAAAATATAATGATTTCCGACTTTCCTCATAACAGATATAAGTAACAATTTACACCAAACACTTACTCTAAGTTTACAATATAACTTTCATTTTTTCTATTATCCAATATTGATTCTAATCATCAAAGTATTCATTCATTCTTATTTATTTTAGTGTACCCACTTATTACGTATCCCATTCCAACTGCATTCAATTTACTTTGCTTCTCCTAACACACCCAACTCTCACTTCCATATAAAGTGGGAAGAAGGATGCCCACAGCCACTTTCCCTCTTTTCAATCAACATTCATTCCTCAGAACAGACCACATACTACCCAGTAGCATTTACCAGCATTTGTGTATCTTAACATTTCTCCATCTGTTGCCCATCTTAGAAAATATTTAACCCAGAAACATAAATTCATCTATTTCCTGTATTTTTCCCTATTTGAATATAACTTGCATTTGTTCACTCCATTTTTTCCCTATCCAAAAAAACAACTACTTTGATCTATCCAATCTATACTCCTTGGTGCATTATACAACCTAACATTTGCAACATAGCATCGTCAGTACATAGATCAAAGTTATTAAAAGTGTAAATGTAACACTACCTGGCCATTTTTTTAGCCTGAGTTTCTGTAAGGCCCAGCTCTAAAGGAGAAACACCATTCTCCACTATAAGATCATTAATGATGTCCAAAACACCACTCAAGCCAGTGATTTGACAGGGATTTTCTGAATATCTGTGGAAAAAACTAATTATATTGCTGCAAACTGGAAAGCTACTTTTAAAATAAATGAGATCAAATTAAATAACATTTCAATGGTTCTTCTATACCTTTACATTTAAAAAAAAAATAGCTAAAATACAAGGATACGTGCTATGAACATACAAGTATAGACAACAGATGGATTTTAATCATTTTCTCATTTCATCATTTTCCTTGCTTAATGACTGTTCGTTCAGTGGCCAGTGGAGAGATAGGTGGATGGGGGGAGTTGAAACAGACCCAAGTGCTGCAGAGCAGTGGAGCCTTGTCTGTCGAAGGGAGCTCACCGGGCCTAGTTGAGGAGAAGGCAGTGGGACGAAGCTGGCAGTTCACTCTCAGGGCAGGAGAAGCATAACAAAGGCATGGTCCTCACCTAACAACCATAACCAAGTTTACCAGAACTGCCATTGCTAAGAAGCCTGGTCATATGATGTTTTGTCTAACGACTGCTTCGCTTAGCAATGGAATTCTGGGTCCCAATTAGGGTCATTAAGTGAGGACTACCTGTAGTTTAGCAATAATTTAGCTGATATTTCCTTTGGAAAAAAAAGCTGCTGCTGGAAGCTGCAGCAACCTCCCTTCTGGGCCAAGTAGGGAAGGAAAGGTTGAAAGGTTGTCCTGCCCAGCGTCTGTTCCGCAGCAGTAGTTCCTATTGCAGTGTTCATTTTTACTGATAAGACAGGAAATGCAGCAATACATTTATCGTAGTTTCTAGTTTAGCTGAAGACTCTATGCAGTTTGATTGATAAAAAAATATAGGTTTGGCTACAACCATGCTCTGCATGTGGAACAGCCCACAGCATCAGGTCCAGGGAGCTTAGAGGACTACTGAGAGTCAGATTAGACAAGACTGAGCTAGACTGACCAATGGTCATTTCCCAAATTAGAGCAAAGATTTATAGAAGTGTATGTATGTACAAGTGTGTGCACACTTGTCCATTTATTTCTGGATTTCTGTTGAGTTTTGGTAAGCTGCCACTTGGGCTGAGAATTTTTATACATCTTTAAATTCTATATTGTTATATATATTAACTATATTATATAATCAAAATAAAATGCCTTTCATAGTGACAGTGTATTTGACTATATCATTTTCTATATTGTACTTCATTAATATATGTTATTATTATTACTGTTGTTGTTATATTTTAAACCAGGGGGTAATGCATTTGGGGTTTTTTTGTGCCTTCAAGTCATTGTTGACCCCTGGCGACTGCCTGGACTAGTACCTGCAGTTTTCTTGGCAGGATTTTGGAAGTGGTTTACCATTGCCTGCTTCCTAGGGCTGAGATACAAAACTGAATACTTTAAAAATAAATGAAGTATGTTTAAGAACTTTATTCCTAAACTTCAACATGAATGGAACATCATGCTGCCTTTCAGATTTTTTAATTTCCTGTTGAATGTTCATGTTAGCAGTGATCCTACTTTACAACACTGAGCAAGCTATAAAATTTTATATTTTTCCTTAGATGTTAATATCTGTGTGATTAGGACTACAGGTAGTCCTTAGGTCATGATGGCAGTTGGGACCAGAATTTCCATCACTAAGCGATGCAGTTGTAAAATGCAATATCATGTGACCTCATCACTTAGCGACGGCAATCTCACAGTTCTGGCTGCCATCGTAACCCCAGGACTGCACAGGTCATTAAGTGGAAAGAGGTGGGAATCCCAGGCAAACAGGCCGGCAGATGAGAGTCGCAGGTGAGAGCTTTGGGTGGGTGGGGGAATGCCACAGGGGGATGCTGCAAGCAGGCCTTCTAGAGTGCGGGTGGGTGAAAAAGTGGCAGGAGTGACTTCCTGCCAGCTTTCCCATTGAGTTTGCTTGTGGGAAGCTGGCAGGGAACGTTGGAATTTGTGATCATGTGACCATGACTTGTTGCAATGTCATAATCATGAGTTGGACACTGAGCACCTGGTTCATGATCATGTGATCACAGGATGCTGCGATGCTGGAATTCTGAGGACCGGTCATAAGTCCCCCTTGTTCAGCACCATCATAACTTTGGTTGCTGAATGAGTAGTTATAACCCAAGCATTACCTGGAGGTCAAATTTGGCTCCTCAATAAATCCATTAGTGAAAACTATAATCACTATAAAAGAACTTCTTCCTATCATTTTGAAATGTGCTAAGTAGAGGTTAAAATCTGTTTTCAAAACAATCAGTAAGCTTGTATATTGATAGTGAGGAGTCTACATTTTGGTAGAAAAGTTACCCAGTATGACTCTCCTCACATCAGTAAATGCTTCTGAAATATTTTCTCATACATACCTCTCATCTTGTTCTTCCATTTTAAAACTAGTATCTACAAAACAAACAGAATTTATCACTAAATTAGGCTAAAACCAACTTTTAGGGTTAATAAAATAGCCAAATATTAATCACTCAAGATAATTTTTTGAACTATTACCATCTGGCAGACAGTACAGGATAATAAAAACAAGGACAAATAGGCTTAAAAATAGCTTTTATCCCAGAGCTACAACT